TTCGACCGAAATTGAGCGAGTTTCGTGAGGACAGATCTTATAATCCCTGGAAGCACGGATGATCAGCTTCTCTGCTTCGAATTTCTGTGCCAATTTCTTGCATCGTACGAGCTTCACGCAGTGTTTATTTGCCTTCCCAGGCTGCTGAGAAGTATACAAGCGTAGTCTTTAGTCCGAGCTACTGGTTCAGCTCATGCAGTATACTACCAATCATTGAAGTGAATGCGAGTCCCTCTTTCCACATTCCTCGTTAATGTGATCTCATATGTCAAGGAGTAATCTTCTCCAAGTGTTACCAAAAAAGGTTATTGGTGTATTCCTTCTTCTGTGGAAGATCTCCCTATTCACACCCCAAACCCTCCAACGCCCTCGCTCACCATATGCTGATCTTAGCCGCCCACAATGCAGTGTACTCACGCAGCTGCGCACAACACACTTTGCCCTCAACTTGTACCTGTACCACTTCGGCCTGCCCCATCCCCTGATTGTGCCCACTGTTTCGTCCCGGAAACCATGCCCCACTACCTCCTTACTTGCCCGGCCTATCGTCTCCAGCACCTACACCTCATCCAGCAGCTCGGCACTGCATGCCTCTCCCTCTGTCTTCTCCTCTCTGTCAAATCCCAGCCCAAGCCCCTTCTGGACTTCGCGCAGAAGACCGCACGCTTCCCTGCTATGCACTTTAACTCCCTCCCCGCTCTCACTTTTCTAACTCTTCTCTCTCCTCTCTCTCTACATAGACTCTTACATAGACTCGTCACCAGTCTGCCATGGACGGCAGATCTTCGTGCAAGCACGTTGCCATAGGCAGACTGGTAGTTCTCGGATGCTGTGTAAAGGCTGTGTGCGGAGTTTGAAAATTTTCCTTCTCTGCTGTTCTGAGCTCAATTGTTATTAGTTTGAAAATTTCAAAGGTAAAGGGTGCGTTTATTCCACATATCTTGAAATCTGCCTCCTCAGAATATCCAGAAAGTGTGCCAGAGTGCTGTGGGAATTTGGGAAACAGACGAATTTTAGCAGGAGCTGCACAGCCCCCGTGATGCCGACGATCGGCACCACTCAAAATTTCAAACTCCACGCGCACAGCATTGACAATTTCCGAGAACTACCAGTCTGCCTACGGCAACGTGCTTGCACGAAGATCTGCCGTCCATGGCAGACTGGTGACGAGTCTAACTCTTACATACTCTCATACACCTGACTCTGCATAGACACCCTGCCCTGCCTCATAAACTCAAGCCATACCCCCATAGCACCCATCCTGTCTTCCCTCCCCGTACTCTAGCCATCCTATCACGTATAAATTCCCGGCCAGCTACTTACATTCACCTGTAATACGTATATAGTGCAATATGGGCCCCCAGGGGCCCGCATGCACTTAAATGCAATCTTGAATTGTGGGAGATCTCAATATATTTTTTACATCAGCGTGTTCAGAGCGTTTCAGAGAGCATATCCCGGCTTATCTGAGGGCAAACCGATAGAATTGGGCCTACCAGTTGAAAATGGATAAATTTTGTCATTGTTTGGCTCTGATGTCACTCACTCGGAACACGGTCCGGAATAACCTTTTTGGTAACTATTTTGCATTGGTGATTCAAACTCAGATCGACTGGTCTATCTATTGACAGGCTTGCCTCTATAGACAGACCAGTCACTGGTCTAAGTCACTATTTATTCCCAGTTTGTCCACCGTGTATTGTCTTTGCTTTATGTCGCTCGAGGCTCACTAGGGGATCGGCACCGTAACCGTATAATACAGTATACGGTTACAGTTTTGCGGCTTCCCGTACCGTCCCGTATAGCCTCTTGTGCAACCCCGTAAGTTTACGATATGGTACGGTTTGTTCTTGATCTCGCCAGCCTGGCAGGTAGGAGGGGAATGAAGGTTGAAGACAGACACAAGGAGGTGAGAAAAGATGGAATCCACTATTTTGAATCTCACTGACCTTCCTCCGCACTGTTGTCATCGGCCCGTACACCTAGTAATACGGCTTAGTACAGTGTCCAAACCATACTGTAACCGTCCCGTAAGGTCTCCAAACACACAATTTTATGGTCCGTATCTGTAGATCTGTACCGTATACGGCACGGTGCCGATCCCTAACCTGGCTCACAGTGTGCGAGCGGCTCTATGTGTCAGGATTATATGGGGAGGTAGGAAAAAATCGAACAGAGCTCTTCTGCCTTCGTATTTGAGGCATATGCATGTCTTTGTACCTTCTTATAGCCTTGTATTTATTTACACGAAACTGAGCTGAGAACGCTGTACTTACTGTCACGCAAGAAATTGCGATGACCAAAAAAAAACCCTGCAAGCTGTGATATGACTCGGGCCCAAGACTCACCACCAGGCGTAACTCACCACCGGTTACACCTGGAGGGGCTATAAAATGCTCTGCGGAAATCTGCGGTAAGAGTGGAAGGATGAAGCAAGATGGGAAAATGCCGAAAAAATGTTACCAAGGTTCTATCGCCTGGCCCCGAATCGAACGGGGTCATCCCGCGTTGAACATGGCTCAGGGTCAGCATTTAATTAGAGCATGTGCACGTCATGTACGACCGGGTGCTGGTATACCTAGTTGTGTCCTTGATTTATGTGAGCGACTTGATTTAGGCGAGGTTGAAATCGTGCGCAAAATCAGCCAAAACACCTTTTCTCGCAGACGGTTGATACCCACCACTGTCACCAAATGGCGAAGGTAGGTACAGCAAAAATTAAAACAAAATCCTGATTGGTTCTCTAGGCCCATGCCATTTTTTGTTCGAGGAGAGTAAGGCCGCGTGGAGGGCAAAAACAACTCGGAGGCAGAAACAAAAGGTAACACCGTCTATCACCCGGCCCCAAATCATACGAGGGCCGGACCTGCAGTCAACCATCGCCAAGGTTTCAATTAGTGTCGTTCAAAGTTGCTCCTACTACTCTGGCTCCTACTTCTTGCCCAGCAAGCAATTCTGCTCAGATTTCTACAAAAATGAAACTGAGTGTCCTGATATACCCTTACAACATCCCTGCATAGTTTCCTGCTCAATTTCTTAATTAGTCCTTAAGAAGGAAGAAAGAGTAGGAAAGAATTTGATCAACTTCGAACACCCTACCTCGGATTTTGCCTGAGTAGAACTTCCCCTTATTTTTGCACATAATCCCAGCTGTGGTATACACAATATTCTTTTCCTTTTTACACATACGTTCTCAGCTGTAATTCTTTTTGGGGGAATATGGAGTGGAAGTACAAAAAGGGACAAGAGAAGGAGCTAAATTTTGGCAGCAGGAGCATCAAAACTTCCTATTTGTTTTCCTACTTGCAAGTAGGAAAACAAGCAGGAAGTCAAGTAGGAGCTGAATAGGAGCAACTTTGAATGACACTATTGAAGCAGATGCACGCCACGTGCAACCGGGTGGTTCTATACTTTCATGCGTCTCTGAATTTATACGTGCGACCTTGCAGTTGGCGTGATTGTGCTTGAATTCAGCCCGAAAAATGTTGCAGACAATGACACTCACCAAGGAACCATTCAGGCGATGGTCCTGCGTAATTGTGGGTCTCATACTTGATATTAATAGCAAGACCGCAAGGGTGAAACAAAAAGACAAAAAGAAGAAGTAAGATTTGCTTAATTCGAATGATCACCCGACCCCGAATCGAACGGGGGTCCTTCTGCCCTCGACGATATGGATTGCATTGACAATATCAGCAGATGCACGGCATGTGCCACCGGATCATCTTATACCTTCCTGCTTCCCTGATTTTATACATGCGAACCTGGACTGATAGTGCTTGAAATTCGTGGTTGAAATCAGCCCGAAGTCAGCCTCAAACAATGACACTCACGAGAGCAACCTGCCAAGGACAGTTCTTTTAGCAGCGAGCAGGAGTAGTGCCCTTAAATTGCGAGAATAAGACACATGCGCATGCAGGAAATCGCGATGAGCAAAAAGAAGCCTCTGCCGCAATGACCCATCACCCGGCCCCGAATCGAACGGGGTCCTTCTGCCTACAATATGGAATCTGCCGTTATTTGAGGCAGATGCACGCCATGTGCGACCGGGTGGTACTATCCCTCGCTGTGTGCTTGGATTTATACGTGCGAAGCTGAGCTGGCGGTGCTTGAAATTCGTGGTTGAAATTAATAGCAATATCGGCCACAGAAACGTTGTGGGGAAATGGCACTTACGAGAGCTACCTGCGGAAGACAGTTGTACTGTTTAGCAGCGGAAAACGTGGCTACAGTGGCAGTTGGCTAGTTTTATTGCGGCGCGTTCCTCCAAGTCTCTTGCTTGTTTGCTGCGGTCACGTTTGTTGAGCGAAAAGAGCATGATTGCACGGACCAACGAGAATTTACCGTTAAATTTTGAGGATAGGAAAGATCTATGCAAGAAATTGGGATGACCAAAAAAAGAAAAAAGTAGTACACGAGCAGCTTATCACCAGACCCCCAATCGAACGGGGGTTCTTCTGCCTGAAAAGTGGCTCCAACAGCCTACCTGCAGCAGATGCACGCCATGTGCAACCAGGTCGTTCTATACCTTCCTACGTCTCTGAATTTATATGTGCGAACCTCGAGTGCTTGTGGTTGAAATAATCGATAATCAGCCCAAAAAATATTGTGGGGACACTGAGAAACAATTCGGGCGTAATTGTGAGGTTCAGTTTCATGAGCAAGTAGAGGCAGTCGAAGAGTAAAAAAAACTCAAGTCTAGCCCCGAATCGAACGGGGGTCCCTCTGCCCTCAACGATATGGATCGTATGTGGCATTGTGAGCAGATGCCCGCTATGTACCACCGGATGATACTATACCTTATTGCGTCCTTGGATTTATGCGCACAAAACTGAGCTGGGTGGGGTTGAAACTGAATTAAGTGAGAGCTGAATTTATTGCTCAGCCTCAGGAGATGTGTAATCCATATGGGCAGCGGCTCCATTAAATTGCGAGAATAGGGCCCAAGCCCATGCACGGAATCACGACGAACCAAAAAAAACGTGATGGGTGATACCGTATCACCCAGCCCCGAATCGAACGGGGGTCTTCTGCATAATCTTCCCCAGACTCTTATTGTAAGCAGATGCACGCCATGTGCGACCGGGTGGTACTATCCCTCGCTACTCGTCATCACACAAAGTAACCGGAAATTTGCTTACTACAGCAGAAATTTGCACAGTATTCTGGGTCTGATCATCTAGAAATGTTCATTTGGATATATTCTCGCCCATCATATCTAATTCAGCATCAAAAATCATGTGCATACCTTCTGTGGATCAATTGTTTTGAGTCCACTTGATTTTTGGTACAGGTGTCCAAAATTAGGGTGTATGGCTCGGTCTATGGGCATAGATAGAGTTTTTTATTGTCAGGGCTATTCCTTAAGATATGTTGAGTATATGCCATCACTTGGAACTCGAGGAAAGTGAATGGAAACTAATACACAAGGCATTTTCTGCACTGAGTCATGCCTGCATGGATCATGCACAAGCTGTTCTCCAGTTAAGCTGACAAAATTGAACCTTGACAGCTAAACTTTGCTTGAAATCTGACTGAAGCACTGCTGAGTCATTGTTTCATCCATCCATGGTGCTCTACATGACGAATTACCATCTAAATCGCTTGTTTAACAATTGATCTTGGAATCCTGCAGGCAATGCTACCACATCATTTGCGGTAAGAATCTATTACATAATCAGAGACTTAACTGTTACAGACTCCACCGGAGATGTCTGTTCACCTATTCCAGGATACCCCACTTTGAATTCAGGCTCCGAGTATTTTCTTTGCAAAGTTTCTTCTGACTGTTGGATAAAATGTCATAATTTAATTATGGGTTGCTAATCTTTTCTGGTCTCTGGAGAGCAATACTGAGTCAATTCTCCCAAAACAAGTTATGCGGTCTTCAGCTAATATCCGTAGGTATTTGGTGGTAAGATATAGTGGAGCCCAGTGCACGTGATCTGGCACAGTGAATCAATTTCCGGTTGCTTTGTGTGATGACGAGTATGTCCTTGGATTTATACCAGCAAACCAGGCCTGGTGTGAATTAGGTGTGAGTTTAAACCAGCCAGCTCGAGATCATTTGGTGGAATCCACTGAGCCAAGAACATCGTGAGCCTGTTCATTTGATTATCCAGAAATTGGAATCGAAAGCGAGTAAAATAAGTAAAATAAATGGCGGAGGGAAAAAGTGAAACCACTGGTACTATCGCCCGACCCCGAATCGAACGGGGGTCTTCTGCATAATCCAATCATTCCAAGCCTTCAAATTCAGCAGACGCACAACTCTGTGCCACCGGGCGGTCTTCAACACCTTAACTGGGTTGAATACATAGTAGCATGGTTAAAGAGAAGAGGAATCCATTTCGAGTCACACGACTCGACGGCCAACGTATTGAATTGCTTGTCCAGAAATTGGACTTGGGAGTGAGTAAAACAAATGGCGTGAAAAGGTCAAAAAAGGGAAACTTGAGGCTTTCCTAGTAGAAGCAGTCGAAGAGTGAAAAAAAAAACGCAGCCATCAGTGCGTTATCGCCCGACCCCGAATCGAACGGGGATCTTCTGCATAATCGTGGGTTGTGAGGACTCGAAGTTCAGCAGACGCACTACGCTGTGCCACCGGGCGGTCTCTAGCACCCTAACTCGGTCGAATACACGGCATGGTTGAACAGAAGAGGAATCCATTAAACATTTCAAATGAGTCACGTCTATGTGACAGTTGTGACGCTCCTCTTCTCCTTAGCCCTTGCGGAAATCCCCTGCGACTAGTAGTACTACTAGATGCCCGGCTCGACAAGTAGTCAGTCCCCTCCACCTGTACCCCGCCGCCGCTCCTCCGCCAGCCCGTCCCCCGCCGCCGGTGTCAAGGGCGTCACGAGGAAAGTGATACGCACGCTCGAGGGGCTGGGGCACGCCGTCGTCGAGATGGACACGGACGACGACCCGGAAGAGAGCGAGGTGGCTGAGGCGCTGAGGGCTGACCGGCGACACGGGAAACAACGCGTGACGATGGAGAGTGCAGCAAATGGAGTGGTGGGGGAGGCGAAGAAGATTGACTGGGAGATCCCAAGGAAGGTGTTCCATTCGTCTATCGGTGCGTTTGCGTTGGGTGGCATTTCCCCCTATCATTTTTTCTATGCTTGGAGAGGGTGCTGAAGAGGATTTTGGACACAGGATTCATAACGCTAGGCCTATATCTGACGCCGAGCATGTCCGCGCGCGCGGTGACGCTCGTGCTGTTGTCCGCGCTGGCCGTAATCGCGCCGACGGACGTCGTGCGGCTGCGTGTTCCTGCCGTCGAGCGGGTGTATGAACGGCTGCTTGGGTTCCTTATGCGCGAGAGCGAGCGGGTGCGTGTGCCTCCCCTCCCCGCCTCATCCTCATCTGCATCTGTGGGCTAATTTTGTGGTATTGTTATTGTAGACGGGCACGAACGGCACGCTGTAGTACATCCTCGGCGTCAACTTTGCGCTGACTTTCTACCCGATTGACGTCGCGATTGTTGCGATTCTTATGTGCGTCCCATTCTGCTTCCTTCCCTCCTTCCTTCCTGTTTTTCCTGCCTTCCTTCTTGTTGTTTCTTCCCCCCTCTACTTCTCCTTTCCTGTACTGCGAGACAGCCCCGTGTCTCGCTTCTCTTCTCCCCGTCGTGTCTCGCGTGTGGCTTCTCTTCCCCTTGCCTCGGGAGATAAGACAGCCCCTACCCCTGTCTTCTCTGGCAGGCAATGGGGTGATCGTGCTATGGCGCGATCGACACGCATGCCGCCGCCCACCTACTGATCTGCCTCCGCTTTGCGCGCGGTCGTGTGCGGTCGTGTGCCCCCCATTTCTTTTATCTTGGGCTTGGGCTTTGGCCTTTGGCCTTCATTTCGTTTCGGCTTTGCTTTGACTCTGTGCTTTGGCTTTGGCTCTGTGCTGTCGACTTTTCGATTCATCTTTGCTTTTTCCTTTCGTTTCACTTTTTCGTCTCTCTTTCGTATTTTCTTTCGTACAATTTTTTTTGGCTCTATTGTCCGTCGTCTCGGGTCGCGTACCCTACTACCCTACCCTGCCCCTTCAGGCGCGCGTCCTCGGTCTCGGGCTCGGGCTGGGCTGGGTCTCCGCACTCCGCGATAGTAGCCGCGCCGACGCCGACGTGCACGGTCTGCGCAGGGGTCGGCCTCGGCGCTGCGATAGTCCCCTCACTCGGGTCACTGCGCGCGCCTCGGCCTCCGGCTCGCGTTCGACTCAGGGTCACTGCTTAGTCTCATTACATCCGGCGTGTATCGTCTTTTGCTTTGTGTCACTCGAGGCTCGCAGGTTGTGTGAGCGGCTCTGCGTCAGGATTGGATGGGCAGGTAGGAAAAACTCGTACAGAGCTCTTCTGCCTTCAGATTTGGGGCATGTGCATGTCTTTGTATCTTCTTAAATAGCCTTGTATTTATTTACGAAAATACACATGCTGTACAAGAAATTGCGATGACCAAAACAAACACCTGTATGCTGCGTATCCCCAGCCCTAAGACTCACTGCCGGGCTACAGGACTATAAAATGCTCTGGGGAAATTTGCGGTAAGAGTGGAAGGAATGGAACCAATATGGGAAAATCAAGAACGAGGCCGAAAAATGTTTACCAAGTATCTATCATCCGGCCCCGAATGGGACGAGGGTCATCTGCTTGAAGACCTCAACCATATGTTGAGCATGCACACCATGTGCGGCCGGGTGATATTGTACCTAGTTGTTTCCTTAACCTATGCGATTGAACGTGGTTGAAACTGGCTTCAGCCAAACCATGAGCCATTTGTGGATAGATTTACCAGTAAACATTCGACTCATCGCCGAGCTGCACGAGGGAGGGAGTATTAAATGCTCTGTGGAAAACTGAGGCAAGAGTGGAAGGATACGATGAGACAAAAATGGGAAAAGAACGATGGAGAAAAAAAGGCTTTCAAAGCATTTCGTCAACTGACCCCGAATTGAACCGGGGTCTTCTGCTCGCAAGGCCGGAAACTCGAAGATTGGGCAGATGAACGCCATGTGCGACCGGGTGGTAGTATACACCATTGCGTCTCAGAGCTCATGCCAGTAATTTAGACAAGGGTCCTGGATAATTGTGAGGTTTCTGTTGGGTCCATGATCAGTTCCATGATAGTACCGAAGTAGTTGAAGAGTGAAAAAAAAAACGCGGCCATCACCCGGCCCCGAATCGAACGGAGTCTCTTCTGCCCTCAGCGGTATGAAATACCCCAGACATTGTAAGCAGATCTGAATTTATACGTGCGAACTTGGAGTTGGAGTGGTTGTGCTCCGAAAAATGTTGCAGACGATGACACGCACCAGATGGCGAAGAAATCATATCACTCACACTTGGCTCATGCCTGTTTTCTGTCCGAGGAGCGACGGTGGAAAAACTTGAAGGCGGGAGAAAAAAAATTCCTTCCAATCCTCCAACATCACCCAGCCCCGAATCGAACGGGGGGTCTTCTGCCTCGAAATAGCCGACATCTCATTAGGGTCATTCACAGTTCTCTTTTTCGCGTCCTTTTTGCTCCCTTTTCTCCTCCCTTTTTTCTCCCTTTTTCAATAATGAACTGAGTGAGCCATAAAATCCAGAAAAATTCACCACAGTCTTTTTGAACATCTGAGGTGGTATGCAACCTTTGGGGGACAATAGGAGCACCCAAACTGTATGAAATGAAGAAAGAGAGTTGAAAAGGGCACGAAAAAGGGTGGAAAAAGGGAGTCGCGGCGGGGGGTTTCACAGTTCACTTTTTCCTGCCCTTTTTCGCTGCCTTTTTCGATGGATTTCTTTCAGTTTTTCAGCTGGGAAGTTCGTTTTTTCCCTTTTAACACATTTTACATATCAGAATTGAAAAAGGGGGGAAAAATCCGGTGAAAAACGGCGGGAACCACAAAAAGCCCGAAAAAAAGGGGAGAAAAAGGGCGGGAAAAAGGGAACTGTGAACGACCCTACTGTAAAGCCACCATGTGCGACCGGGTGGTATTATAGGCTGTTGCATCCTTGGATTTATAGGGCACAAACTGGGTTGGAGAGTGCACTGGCTTTATGTTAGATTGAGAAAGTTGCTCAATTTATGCTAACAAATACTAATTTGACTTCAT